GTGGGGCATTGGCTTAAGCCGTAGGGAGACTTGTACCTCTGCCTCGCATGGGCCAGTAGGCCTGCTGCAGTGTTCCTTCTTTCTTAGTTCTTATGTTCCACATATTCCACAACCCCCCCTCAACCACCCGTCTATACCCGAAGAACCACACCCAAACGGTAAGCTAGCACGATATTCTAGGTAAGACCCCAGCGGGAAGACTGGAAGACGACGACTAGATCTAGAGAGGAGTGCCTTATCATAAGATAGAGCCAGCTTAACCACCGCAGCAGAGCATTCGTGAAGGAGTTTGTGGAACATGAGAGCCAGGATACCCAGGCAAGCTTGATCGAAGACATGGGAGCACTGCTGTTGCATCTCATCAGCGTGGTGTTGCCTAGCTTTGCATTGGTGGAGGACTGGCGAGAGGCGTGGCTTGAGGCGGCGACTAATGATGACGTGACTTATTGCGATCGTCCTAGGGCCAGGTAGTGTAGGAGCCGTTGGAAATTCTTCCTATATTGCTGATTTTGAGAGCAGGACAAGTTTACCCCGGTGCAGTTTGTCCTCGTTGCCACAGGTCCTTCTAGTCAATGCGTTAGTGTCTGTAGGTCGATCTGTTGTGGCAAACAGTGTACTTGACTTGGGCATATTGTATGCAGTATATACTTTGGCCTGCATGCAGGAATCTGGTCAGTCTGCATGCATGTGTACAGGTGATAGGTGCGGTGGTCCTGTGGTCAGTTCTACTATCGTTTATTTTCTAATGATGCTGGAGTTTCTTGTGGTGGATTTATCCCGGTAGAAGTATTTATGCCTTTTTTGGCCATCGGTGATGAATGGAGACGGGAGAGTAGGTCGGCAGTGTGGTGCGGTCCTCAGGTAAGATCAGGTGTAGGCTGCTGATTGTCAGTGGCTGCGGTGAGTTTGTTTGTTGCAGCTGTTGTGTTTGTTGTATCTTGCGTTGTGGTGTACATGAGTGTAAAATTTACTGTTGCTTGGGTGAGCTGATTATGTCAGCAGAAGGAGGAATAGTCTGGGAAGGTGAATGCCGGCATGTGTTTAGTCTAAAAAAAGTTCATATGATGTAGTGTTGAAGGGCCCTGGTGCTGCCATGTTGTGCATGTGACATTACAGTAGGCAGTACTGTATTTTAGGTGGAGTCACACTGCAGGAGTGGAGGTAGTGGTGTAGAGTGTTGGGTTGATATCTGGAGTTTGGTGGTGTCAGCCTGCAGCGTGGCGATAGCACAACGAGGGTGATCTGGATGGAGACTACTTCTGATTCTTTTCTAATGTTCTTTTTGATGATTATCACGATGGTTGGGTACATTTTAGCTGCGAGAGTTGGTGGTTATTCTTGCAGTTTAGACACATGAGAGCACAGCGAAGTGCATTTCTGGAGTCGTGGCCCTCAGTACCAGCAGGTGGGACAGAATTTCTTGTCTTTGGTGGGAGTCTTTTGGTTGAATGGAGGTATGAGAACAGGTCCAGCATTAGTGACCGTGGTGGTAACGTTCAGCTTCAATGTGGCAGTCGTTGAAGAAGTAATAGTAGATGGCTAGTCCCCCCTCAGCATAGCTTGGGAAGCCTCGGTTGACGTCAAGTAAAGGTTGATCATGAGCAAATGAAGAGACCGTGGGAATCCTTGGTAATGTTATCCACGTTGTGGCCAAGGGTTATTGGTCGTCGGACAATTTTTTGAGTCTTCGATGGTCTAGGACGTAATCAGTTTGTCCAAGCGCTTCAAGAAAGACAGTCCTCTTAGCCTAAGACCGAGAGGTAAAATTCCATACCAAAAAACGATACATGACTTCATTGACCACGGGTTGGAAACTCAACCTACTGAACTATACCCATATACTTCCCTAGTCATACATGGGGAAAATTCCCCTCCACTGTGCCACGTACCCTTCCCACTAACATCCTACACATCTAGAACCTATTATTTTACTTCCTCACAGATCTTACCAACACCAAGTCCTCAAAAAACAGTTCAACACTATGCAACTCTACCCCATTATACATGTTGTCAACCTATCAATGTATCTTGACCAAGCCTCTCCCACTCACACCTTCCTTTCATCACCCTCCCTCTTAATGAATATACACTTGACCTCCACTTGAAAACCATTCCAACCCCCCCCCATCCGATGCACAGGTAACATTACCTACATCCCTTTTAAGCCAATCACGAGCCGAACCCCCAAAAGAATTTAAAAACCCTCCAAGTATGTGTCTGTCAACTGCCGTCCCAGTTAAAGGGAAAACGGCTGTCACGTGCCATACCTTACTATACACTAAGAACTTAATAACAATGGCATGCTGCACAAGGTCAAATTGGTAAGCCGCAATGCTCCCAATGACTCAGAATCCTGTCTACCAACCTAAGCGAGTATTTCCACACGGGCAACGCCCAGATCGACTTCATAGATAAAGACCACAAATTTATAACAAATTGCCCACCTCGTCAGAGACAGCACTAACCCTCCCCACCCAAGCTCCTAACACCCCATAACCTTGGACTTTTCTCTGAATTTACTCTCATATCAATTGCACCTGCGAACAAGTTTACTACCCCAACTAAGGCGTATCCATGACTTCCCTCCCAACCCAGAACAGAAGTATCATCAACAAACGTATTAGGACTGGCCAACCCTCTCAATTCCACTCCTTCTCCCTCACTAGTGCACATTTCTGCCCCACCATTCAATAAAAGGGGTCCACTATGCACGCGAACAATAGCTGTTCACAGACACCCCTGTCGAAGTCCCCCGAGACCCATTACAAACCTCATCCTCAGTCTACCCTGTAATCTGTATCCCTTGTCGTTACTTCATGATACAACACATCTACCCCATCCCTCTATTTCTTCCCAAAACCCTGACCCCTGAGGATAGCTCTCAATGCTTCTCACATCCCCACTGTCATATGCTCCATGCCAGTCTAGTCCACCAAACCCCCCCCCTCCCCGCTTTTTCTCCACAAAAAATCCTAGTAGCCCTGCTCCCCCAACCATAGACCCGCCCTGGCAACCCAAACTGATTTTCAATGCGACCCACCCCTACTACCTACTTAAACCTATTTCCCAAAATCTTAGCGAACAACTTGTAATCCGCGCATAACAACGATATTGCCCGGTAGTCCCTAAGCATATGCTGCCCCTTACCCTTCGGTACCAAGACTACTGCAGCCGTTGCTTGCTTTTCTCCCAACTCTCCCCTCTCCTTCTTTAAATTTAAAAACCTAACCAAAAACCCCTCATTAGCTCCCAATGTTGCTGATAGAACTCTGTCCATCGATTCCTGGTGCTTTGCCCTTTCGCATTTCACCTAAAGCCCTCCATATTTCCCCACCCTGTGTTTCCCTATCACTGTTTCCCAACTGTCATATCACACTCCCACACACCTGTTCTAAATCCCCAGCTCCTCCCCCTTTTCCCTTTTGCCAATACGCTCATACCACTTATCTGCAAATGCCCCCATTCTATCTGTAGTTGTATAACCTAAACCCACCCTATACCCACTCACCGACTCATAAACCCTCCACCCACGGAATAGCCATTCCCTGCTGCCCGTTGCTTTTAAACCTACACAATCCCACACGACGACGGCCTATCGCCCCATAACACCTCTTCCCCCCCCCCCCGCCATTACCCTCACGGGCTTGGAACCTCTCGTCCTGTATTTCGCGCAACCTCCCCTTAATTGCCATAATGTCGTCCATAGGATAAGTACCCTCCACTGTCCCTCTTACATAACACCCCGTTAACCTGTCCTTCAAATAGTTAACAAGCCCATATTTTAAAGAAATGATCATTTCCCCTTTTGCATGTAATAATTGCCAAATCTGTTCCTTAGCCAAAACCATCCCCCCAGTCACTACATCCTCCACCCCTTTTACCTCCTCCTCCCACAGTGTTGTAAAATCCTCCAACCCCTCCTCATCTCCTAACATATTTGTATTTAACTTCCAGTATCCCCTAGAGATACCAGCTAGTGATTCCCACTCCACCTCTGCCACTACCACCCGATGATCTGAAAAAGCTACTTCTATTGTATGGGCAAACTTTGACAAGACCCCGTGAGATATATACAACCTATCTAACCTAGCCGTGTAACCCCTCCTTACGAAAGTATGCGCTACCTCCCCCCCACCTACCACATCCCTCAACTGAACATCCACCAAGAGATTCTGTAAGGCTGCCGACACGTGCCCCACCCCTTTTGGCTCCACATCAGCCCTCCTAATAACACAATTCCAGTCACCACCAACGATGGCCACCACAGGTAAACCACGTAAGGAGAAAACTAGGTCATCACATACAAAATCCTGCTTTACTTTCACATCGTTTTCCGCTGGCACATACACACAAAGGTTACCCTCTGCCCCATCCACCACCCATCCACACGCAACACCCTCCCCCTTCTCCCCTTTCGCTTCGTATCAACACAAACGGGCTCACCTCCTTTATCAATAAACTCGCACCAACTTTCAGACGTGCAGATGGCAGAGTCATTACCTTAAACCCTGCCACCTCCAGCACTCTCCCCTCCCTAAAATTATTTTTCTGTAGAAACACTACATCCACTCTATATTTACACAGTAGCATATAAAAACATTTCCTCTTCACACTATTACACAATCCATTCACATTCACACTCATACACCTAAGGCCTTCTTATAATTTCCAACCTTTCCTCCTCTCCTCCTTCTTCCCAGGGCCTCCTGCCCCAGGGCCAACATATGATTCCACACTATCCACCCTACCCCCCTTCTTTCGAAGCCTCTTATCCTGGCTACCTCAACAATACTCTTCCTTCCTCTCAGACCTTTGCACCGGCGTCAGGACATCGTCTGAGTCTGACGCCGCCGCTCTTTTTCCCTCGTGATGCCCTCCACTGCCATGTTTTCTTCCGATGGACGATGGACCTCAGCCTTCACCATGCTCTGTTCCATGGAACACGGCGAAATCTCACGCTTACTGCTTGGCCCGTCATCCCTGCTATGGTTTTTACTGACCCATTCCTCCAAAGGCAACGCCGCGCCTCTTACCAGCTCGGGAACATCATACTTAGGAGGCGGCATCAATGTCCTCAACACTTCCTCAAGCTCTTCCTCGAGCGCCATTACCTCCTCCTGCATTTGCACTTCTGCACTCTTCACCTGCCTAGTAACAGTTCCTGTTATGGCACAGCTTGCCTCACACACCACAGTCTCAGCTATGGGATCCTCCAACTCTTCACTCCACAAGTGCCCAAGCCCTTGTTTTCACGTGGGGCTTTCAACAACAGCTTCCACACTGGTAACTTCACCAGTCTGTGCAGGCGCCCTCCTCAGCTTCACACACGCTGCTGCTATATGGTCATATGCCCCACATAACCTGCACGTACATCTCTGTTTGGCGTATTATACCAAAACCTGTGTCCTGAAGTCCTACAATACGACGTAAGATGGTATAGGATGTCTTAGAGTCATCTTCAGGGAAAAGGTTCCCTCCAGACGGCCCATGTAAGCACCAGCCGCCCACTTCCCCTGTTGTGCCAGATGTACGGTCCCATATGCCTCGAAAACACTCCTGATGTCAGCCTCGTCTGCCTCAAATGGGACGTTATGAATCTTAACGCACATAAAGTGGCGGGATATCGATTAAACGCACCTTCACAGCTGGAGTGGCATCAAGGCTTACGTCTTGGAATCGCATCACCAATGACTCGTACACGGACGTGGAATTCAGTTTTACAAAGATTCTGTATGCCCCATTCAGGGTACACCATACACCTCATCCTGTATGCATACGTCTCCCTAATGATGGTCGGGAGTAACACCTGCGCAGACGTGGGTGAAATTGCCCCACGAAGCAGCTCAATACCGATGGTATTTACTCGACGCCTCTACTCAGTACCATGTTGGTACAATGTTGCTCGCCTGAAAACATCAGAGGGGTGCAGAGCACAACCACGCTCTAGTGACCAATAATGGATGTGATTTTTACTTTACATTTTGCTTAAGAAGCTTTTTTCAGTTTCAATTATTGCTTTGGGTCCTGTTTGATTCCTTAAGCACAAAATTCATATTTTTTTATTTCTCTTACCAGTGCTCTGTATACACTGAAAAGTTTGCTCAGTAAAAAGTGTTGGTGCACCTGCTGTTTGATTATTCAATACAATAAGACCTACCTGTCATGGATCAGTATTCCTAAGTAGCACAGACCAACCATATTTATTAGGAAGCTTTAAATTAGTAGTAGCTAAACAGCCCCAAGGGAACTGGAGGTAATTCATTGATTTTAACATATCTGTGTTTTTACTTAAGTAAATGAGAATCTTGTTAACAGATTGAGGCATATTTCAAGGAAAAAAAAGTAATCAAGTTTTGGACGATGGATTTCGAAGGCGTCATGACTCTTTGGGGCTTTTGGCAGATACCAGAAATACGTGTTTGGTCTCGCTTGTATAGGGTTCTTAATACCTGGAAAGCAGTAGTCTCCCCTCACGTTTGTCGGGAAAACTGTCAAACACAGGTAAGTCATTTTATTTGAAATAATTTTATATATATAAAATATATTTAAAAAAATATATATATATATATATATATTTATATATATATATTTTATATATATATATTATATATATATAAAAATATATATATAAGTGCTTTTGTGACTTCTCACATTATCAAAGAATTATGAGATCAATATATCAAAGAAAGGCATTTAAAGGGCCAACTACACCTCACCAACACATCCCACAAGAAAGCAACACCACACACGCGTGACAACACCCGACTCTGTGAAACACACCTAATACTCAAACCAAGAATTAAAGGGGCGAGCAGAATCACCAACTTTTTTTTTATCAGATTTCAATGGGATTGTGACAGTGGATTAAGGTGCTTAAAAAGCAAATAGGCTGTGTTTGTTTTGACTGTTAGCCTTCAAGTTAGATAGAAAAAAAATATTTTTGCAAAATTTTATGGGTCCTAGGACTTTCCAGTTTCTACTAAATTGCAAAGATGTACAATGCTCCAGTTGACATCAGATGAAAGATAAAGACTAGATTAATAATAACACAGAGCAGTTTAATGATAATGTCAGTAGATTCCATAAAAAAAATTTGCAGTTTTTTTGTTTTTAAGAGGAAAAAATCATTAACAAAAAACTGTTCACAAAATGGCAAATCCTCCCTGGGTATTTGTAGAACCATCATTCCTCAATAACGTCTGCAAAAATCGTGACAATCCAATGAATACTTATCGCAGGAGAGGGATTACAATGTCAATAACTTATTACTGAGCTTTTTTTATGTGAAACTAGAAAAGTCGCACGCCAACTTGCAGCATGCTACACACCCCCTCTCTTCCTTACAGCCTGCCGGGTACTGAGGGACTTTATCTGCTCTCCACACTAGCCAGCACACAAGTTGCTATGTACAGTATTTACAATGAAATAATCGTAAAAATCGTAATTTTGGGTGGAAAAAAAAACTGCTAATTGCCTACATGTATTTTTGCTGACAGCAGAACAAAAAATACATTTAATGAAAAACATACTTAGAAATATTATAGAAACAAGTTGATTGCATCAAAATCTTGCCGAAATTTTGTACTATTTTTCAGTAAGAAAACATTTTTTTCCATAATTTTTCAATTTTAATATCTTCATCACTGAAAAAAGGCGCGCCCCTCCCTTAAGATTTTTTCCTTGTTTAATGTATCATTAAATTCTTTCCAAATTTTATTAATTATTAATGAATCTAATTTATGTAAACCAAAGGAAATATTCATATTATTTTCAAAACTGCTTTTTATGAAACAAGATTCAATTATATTCCTGTCGACCATGGACTTGCTTGATGCAACTTTCTCATAGATAAAGAAATATTCAAAATTTATGAAATTGCTAATGATCAGAAATACCCAAGAAACGTATTTGATAAATCTTTTAATATTGCTAGAAATACTTTTTACAATCCAAAAAGGGCCAACCAGCCTTATTCAAAAATATTTTGGTTCTCCCTTACCATGAAAACTTGGTTGATATGCCTTCTCTTCTTAAGACTTTTAATATTAAAGTTGTATTCAAAAATCTTGATACAGTAAAAAAAACTTTTGATAAAGAATTCCCCCCAAAATGCTGACGGATGTGTCTATAAGATTCCTTGTAAAATTTGTGATAAAGTTTATTACGGTCAAACTGGTAAAAGTCTAGAATTAAGATTAAAACATAAATATATTAGGAGAACTGGACAAGATTCTAATGCCCTATTAATTTATGTGAGAGATTTTAACCATCCAATTGATTTTCAAAAGGCTGAGAAAGTTGTATCAAGCAAATCAATGGTCGACAGGAATATAATTGAATCTTTTTTCATAAAAAGCAGTTTAGAAAAAATTATGAATATTTCATTTAGTTCATAAATTCATAAGGTTCGAGTCTCCTTCAGCCAGAGATCAGTGTTTGTGTATATTTCTCCTGCTCTTGCGAATTCCTTGCACTGTTAATCTCTCTAGTAAGGCTGATGCATGCAGGGGATGAGAGGAAAAGCTGTAATCCTTCTCCTTGAAATCTGGCTGCCTTGGATCAAAGTCTAGCGCAAGCTGGACTCCTAGGTATTGGTCCAGTGTGAGTAGATTGGTAAAGCACTGCGTACCTTTTTCCAAGGTTCGTAGGTTCGAGTCTCCTTTAGCCAGAGATCAGTGTTTGTGTATATTTCGCGTACTCTTGCGTATTCCTTGCATTGTTAATATCTCTAGTAAGGCTGATGCATGCAGGGGATGAGATGAAAAGCTGTAATCCTTCTCCCTGACAGCTGGCTGCCTTGGATCAAAGTCTAGCTCAAGCTGGACTCCACGGTATTGGTCCAGTGCGGGTAGATTGGTAAAGCACTGCGTACCTTGTTCTAAGGTTCGTAGGTTCTAGTCTCCTTAAGACAGAGATCAGTGTTTGTGTATATTTCGCCTGCTCTTGTGAATTCCTTGCATTGTTAATATCTCCAATAAGGCTGATGCATGCAGGGGATGAGATGAAAAGCTGTAATTCTTCTTCCTGAAAGCTGGCTGCCTTGGATCAAAGTCTAGCACAAGCTGGACTGCAAGGTATTGATCCAGTGGGTAGATTGGTAAAGCACTGCGTGCCTTGTTCCAAGGAACGTAGGTTCGAGTCTCCTTAAGACAGAGATCAGTGTTTGTGTATATTTCGCCTGCTCTTGCGAATTCCTTGCATTGTTAATATCTCCAATAAGGCTGATGCATGCAGGGGATGAGATGAAAAGCTGTAATCCTTCTCCAAGCTGGCTGCCTTAGATCAAAGTTTAGCGCAAGCTGGTCTCCAAGGTATTGGCCCAGTCTGGAAAGTTTGGTAAAGCACTGCGTACCTTGTTCAGATTTTCGTAGGTTCGAGTCTCCTTTAGCCAGAGATCAGTGCTTGTGTACATTTCGCCTGCTCTTGAGAATTCCTTGCATGCAGGGGATGAGATAAAAAGCTGTAATCCTTCTCCCTGAAAGCTGGATGCCTTGGATCAAAGTCTAGCACAAGCTGGACTCCAGTGTGTTTAGACTGGTAAATCACTGCGTACCTTGTTCCAGGGTTCGTTGGTTCGAGTCTCTTTCAGCCAGAGATCAGTGTTTTGTGAATTTTTCGCCTGCTCTTGCGAATTCCTTGCAATGTTAATATCTCTAGTAAGGCAGATGCATGCAGCGGATGAGATGAAAAGCTGTAATCCTTCTAACTGAAAGCTGGCTGCCTTGGATCAAAGTCTAATACAAACTGGAATCCAATGTATTGGTCCAGTGTGGGTAGATTGGTAAAGCACTGCGTACCTTGATCCAAGGCTCGTAGGTTCGAGTCTCCTACAGTCAGAGGTCAGTGTTTGTGTATATTTCGCATGGCTTGCGAATTCATTGCATTGTTAATATCTCTAGTAAGTCTGATGCATGCAGGAGATGAGATGAAAAGCTGTAATCCTTCTCCCTGAAAGCTGTCTGCCTTGGATCAAAGTCTAGTGCAAGCTGGACTCCAAGGTATTGATCCCCTGTGGGTAGATTGGTAAAGCACTGCATTCCTTGTTCCAAGGTTCGTAGGTTCGAGTCTCCTTCAGACAGAGATCAGTGTTTATGAATATTTCGCCTGCTCTTGCGAGTTCCTTGCGTTGTTAATATCTCTAGTAAGGCTGATGCATGGAGG